ATCTACAACTTAATTTCCATGATAACTGGAAACCTGTTTTAAGTCTATGATGCAACTGCAAGTCTTGTCAACACACACAATAAAGACTTGAATGGCATGGAAGCTTGCGGTGTAGGGATAAAAGAAATTTCCAGTTACTATGCAAGTTAGGACGTAGAGTCTAAATCAAGCTTTAGAGAGAGAAGCAAGACTGAGATGGTTTGGACAAAGTATCCTCCCAGGCAGAAGGAATTAATGCAAGACCACAGAGGACGTTCATGATTTAGTAAAAGAGAGCATGCAGAGGGTTCTTGTGACAGAAGATAAGGTTAAGGATAGAACCTGTCTTTCCAAAGTGTACCCTGGTTTTCATGGAATGTCAGCTGGAATACAATTCATCCACCTTCAGCGGCTTTCTAAATGGGTAAAACTGATATAGTTAGTTGATAGGTGAAGATGACAATAAAATACTAATTCATTTTTTAACTGTTTGTTGTGGTTTATGCTTCTTTATTCTCTGTGTCCCCTTGATGTGTTGTTCCATGACCCCTCATGAATTTGCACCCAATATCTCAGCTTTCATTTATAGTCGCCAGCAGAGGCTCTAAAATTCTTGACTGAAAGGTTTCAGAAGACGTGCTTAGATAACAAATATCTGGGGAAAATACAGAGCTCATATCACAAAGATTCACATTCACACGGGACTAATGTAAGCGCTGGATCTCCGTGTTTAATACATTATGGCAGGTAATTGGAGTTCTTCAGCTTTTAAATTACAAACTTGAAAGAATTGCACAAAATGTGGTTCACACACAACCTTCACTGTTATTCCAGATAACTGGAGCTCCCCAGTGAATGCTAGTCCTGTGAGCAGAGCTTTAGTGTTGCCACATTATGCAAAGTCCTTTCTATTCTATCTGCATGTCTTTCTCCAGCAGAACATAAAATGATAATTGGTTTGTATTCAACCTTTAGAGAGACACAAATTACCCTGACCAGAATTAAGATCTTGCAGTTAATGGTCAGAATCGTAACCACAGAGCTAAGGATGTACTTGAGGTATTTTTTTTTTTATTCTTTCCTTTTTCTTTGCTTTTTTCATTCTTCAAACAACAAATAAAATAATGCTCGTGCCGTGAGTTTATGAAAGACGAGACTGCTCAAATCTCTGAACACGTAACCCCTTTTGCACATTTATTAAATTACCTAAATGGAGATATAAAAGACAGCTCTTGGAGACAGATCCATGAGGCATCATTATTTGGAACAAGAATAAATGTTTTTTTTGCCTTTGCGCAGGCTCAGAAAACATATTGTACCACCAGCAATGGCCTTGAAAATTGACCACAGAGTCACACGATTTAGGTATACTTTTATACTTCCTAGAGATATCGGGTTGGCTTGATTGAAAACTGTTAGCTTGCTGAACTCAGACACCAGGCTTATTGCTCTTGTTCACGAAGGAGCAGGGCAGGTTTTAGTGATGATTCTCTCATACTGTGTTGATTTACATTTCTTTTCTATAGTACTGCCATGGGGGCATTACGTGGGTTGAGCAGGAACTCCTTATTTAGTAATTTAGTCATGTGTGTGACGGTGCAGGCTCTCCTGAGGAATCCTGTCTGTTTTCCACACATTTCCTTGGAGTAGACTTCTGTTACTGGGCAACCTGACAGTGACAGAATCTGGTCATCTGTTCCCGCCTCCACCCGTCATGCCTTTACATTTCTCATGTTTCACTTCTCTTGATTCATGTCCTTCTGAAATGTCAGGCGTGCATGAATAATCGAAGCGATGGAGAGAAGCATGTTGTTCGCCGTGTGTCATATGTTGCTGCGCAGTGAAACGCAGCAGTGATGTGAAGAATGTAATCGTGTTGAATCACTATGCATAATACTTTGTCATATTTATATTTACTCTTCTATTCTGGTGTTCCCACCATAAATTTTTAATCTTTAATCATTTCTTTTCAAATTTGCAGTGCTTGCAAAATTTCTAATTAGTTCTCTCTCTTTTCACTCAGGCGCTTGTTTGCATTTCATGACGTTTTTGATACTCGAAGGCTAATTTTTAACCCGGGATCAATTAGTTGGATGCCAACAGTGCGTCTTAATAGAGGTTCATTTGTACGAGGGTTTTCATCTCATTAGCTGTGACTGTGTGAAAAATTCTGCTCAGCTCGTGAATTATTCAACCGTTAATTCTCTTGTGTTTTACGCACACATAAATTTACTCCACATAGGCCCCGCCCCTTCTTTGAAGGTACATTTCATGTATTTTTATTCCAAAGTGTCTGTCACATTGTAATTTTGTTGGGGTTTGGCTTCCTCCACAGAGGTACAAGCCTGGAAGATGTGACGACATCCTCAAATGGAAGCCCCCCAACCTCAACTCCGTGGACTTTCGTCTCAAGATCACCAAAGTCGGAGGAGAAGGGTACGTCACTGTTGCCAGGGAAACGCTCTGCCTGAGGACTCTAATAGCACCTATGATTTTGTGACACACTGGAGTACTCAGAGACAACCACATGTGCACACATGTGTAAAGTCCAAAGCACACACATTGAATTTCCTTGACATTCATCTTTCAGTTTCTATTTCATCCCATTTCTTTTCTCCTTTCAGATTTCCCTTCTGCCTCAGGGTTCACTTCCTTTTACAACAGCACAGCTACTGCATGAAAAGTTCATTTCTTTTTCCATTTTGCCTAAGCACTTTTTTTTTTCCTTAAGTGCCAGAAGTTTCGTATATGCTGTATGTGCTTTGTGCTCCTCTTTTTCTTGCTTTTTTTCTTTTATTATCCTCTGCTACATAAATTATTCAGCTCCACTGATGTTCGCTCTAACCATTACCCAAGTATACATTACAGCTCCGCAGAAAACAATTCTATACTGGGGAGGGGGAAATCGAAAGGTAATAAAGGCTTACAAATGTGTTTCTTGGGAGGCAAGGTGGTGCAGTGGTTAGCACTGTCAAATTGCAGCTAAACAGTTCAGAGATTAAAGATGCTGGGCGACCGGGGCGTTTCTTTTGTTGAACAGTCTTTTTATTATATTTTTGCCATAAAAGAAAATATAATACAAACTATAATAACACAAAATAAGGAAAATATTTAAACATACTACTCAAACTTCCCTCACCTTGCCCCTGTAATATCAGATCAAAAATATGAACATTGTTAGATATCATTCACATATTTTCTCAGTAATATATCAAAATAAATTGTCGTTTTATTACAGTAATAATGTTACGGTTATGCATTAATAATAATAACCTGCCATCCTTTTAACAAAGCTTATAAATGGAATAGAATAGACTAAAATTTCCCAACAGATCCTTTAATTACATGTCTGAACTTTTCTATGATGATATGATATGATCCTTTCATCCAGAAATAATACAACTTTTGACCAACTACTCTGGTCTACTTGTAAGAGCCAGGCCATTTCTGTGTGTAGTTTGTGTGTTTTCCCTGTTCCAGTTTACATTAGTTCGCTCCCATTTTTTTCTCCCATTAAAACTATATTTGCTCAAGAACTCGAGACTCTAGACCAGGTTTGGAGATTCACACATGTACTTCCATGAGTACATGATGCCCATGTGTTCATTATGAAGTACCTGCTATATTCTCACATGAGCTTCATAAGATATCACACTGACTTTCTGCTGGGAAGCTGGCAGGTTAAAGACCAGCTGATGGCCCATCTGACTTCACCAGACATTTGCACTTCCATCTGGTAACGTCTAAATAAGTTCTGGGCTGCAGAGCAGGTGTGAAAATGGCTTACAGTAGGTTAATTCATCATTGTGATTCAAAATCGCTGTCTAGGAATTACCGTGCTTCTCACCAAATGTCATCTGAGATGGGACCCTGGTCTTTAAACTTTGATAAGTAGTTGAATGGACTTATGTTTTGACCACATTTTATTCAATTTAAGCTCAGTATTATTGGACTAAATGAGTAGCTTTGCATCACTCACAGTTCAAAATATGGGACCTTAGTGAAGTCCTGTATCTCAACTTTTGTCTGAAAAAAATCTGTTTTACTCTTCCCTCTCTAATATCGGGCTCCTTTTAAACAGTCTTCCTTCTGATTGGCTAACCTCTGCAAACAGAAGGTTGAATCAGTGGGTGGGGCTTCTGTGCTCACAATCAGAGTTGTGTGCCTGGGATATTTACAGTCTTTGACATTGACCTGTTTAGAACAGAGTACTTGGAGCAATCAAAGCAATTATATGCACATACAATGACTTCATCATTTGAAAGATTAGATTAGATTATATGAAACTATTATATTATATTCCTCTGGGAAATTCCGTTTCCAGTAGCACAGCACCGACAGAAGTTGCATGTTACAGATACAATAAACGGGAATGAGAGCAAGGATATAAACATAAATATACCATATATACACATATATAAATACAGAATATATAATATGGATGAATAGGAATACTAGTGGATTGCACATTTGAGTGAGTCTATTGCACAGTCGAATATAAGAAAAAATATTGCGAGTATTGCACAGTGGAGGAAAAAAAGCACTACAGCTCAGTTGTTCCCGCCCTCCTTTGTCCCCCTGTTTCCCCTCCCTCTCTCCTCCAACGAGGAGTTAAACAGCTTGATGGCGTGTGGGACAAAGGACTTTTTAAGTCTGTTGGTTCTTGACTTTGGGAGAAGCAACCTGTCGCTGAATAGGCTCCTCTGATTATTTATGACCGTGTGCAGAGGATGCCCAGCATTGTCCATAATGTCCAGCAGAATCTTTAATGTCCTTTACTCTGCCACTGTCACCAGAGTGTCCAGCTTCATGCCGACCACAGAGCCAACCTTCCTGATTAGTTTTTCCAGCCTGGATAAGTCCTCCTTTGCTGTGCTGCTCCCCCAGCACACCACAGCATAGAACAGTACTTCTGCAACCAACGACTGGTAAAACATCCTCAGGAGCTTCCTGCAGATGTTAAAAGACCTCAGCCTCCTGAGGAAGTAAAGTCTGCTTTGGCCTTTTTTATACAGGTGCTGTGTGTTGCATGACCAGTCCAGTTTGTTGTCCACCCACAGCCCGAGGTACTTGTATGTGCCACCTCCTCTCCCTCTATCAGAACTGGCAGGTGGACCTAGTCTGGACCCACAACCAGTTCCTTAGTCTTTGAGGTGTTGAGTTGCAGGTGGTTTGTGTGACTCCATGTGACAAGGTTCCTCACCAGACACCTGTACTCCTCTTCCTGGTCATCCCAGATACACCCCATGATGGCCGTGTTGTCCGCAAACTTCTGAATATGGCATAATTCAGAGTTATAGCAGAAGTCAGAGGTGTACAGGGTGAAGAGAAGAGGGGACAGCACAGTTCTCTGATGTGCTCCTGTGGTGCTGGCCACAGTGTTAGATGTGATGTCTTTCAGCCTGACGTACTGTGGTCTGTCAGTGAGGTAGTCTGAGATCCAAGCGACTAGGCAGGGGTCCACCTGCATCCTGCTTTGTTTTTCCTGAAGCAGACAGGGCCGGATTGTATTAAAGGCACTGAAAAAGTGAAGAAACAGGATCCTGACCGTGCCTTTTTCCTTGTCCAGGTGTGAGTGGGCTCTGTGTAGGAGGTACAGGATGGCATCCTCCACTCCAACATCCGCCTTGTAGGCGAACTGTAGTGGGTCCTGGGTATGTTGTACCTGTGGTTGGAGGAGGTTGAGGAGGAGCCGCTCTAGGGTCTTCATAAGATGTGACGTCAGTGCCACCGGTTGGAAGTTCATTCAGCTCATTGGGCCGGTTCTTTTTTGGGGACTGGGACAATGGATGTCTTCCAGAGGGCTGGCACTCTCCCCAGTCGCAGGCTGAGGTTGAAGACTCATTGTAGCGGCTCCCCAAGTTCAGCAGCATACACCTTTAGCATCCTAGGACACACCTTGTCTGGGCCTGCTGCCTTCCTGGGGCGAAGCTTCCTCAGTTGTCTCCTGACAACTGGGGAGGAGGGGGATGTCAAAGTGTCAGGGATGGGGGGAAGCGAGGGAGGTAGGAGAGTAGGGAGAGGGCTCTGTAGTAAAGGTGAGGGTGGGGGGGTTGTGTGCCGGTCAAACCTTAACAATAAGAGAATATATTATATATAAAAACAAGAAGAAGCATAATACATTGCCTTGAAGAAAATGAATTAAAGGAATGCATTTCCCTTGTTAAAGTACATTTGATTTTGAACAAAATCTAATCATGCATCTGCAAATCTCCAGGGTAGATATGCACAAAACATTGTGTTTATTTGGTTTTTTTTCCAGAAGACAAATTCAAATAACTCTTCATCTTTTCAATTTGTCCTCTTGTGCAGATAGGAGGCTGGCGTTTGTGGTTTGGAGCGACTTAAAAATTATTGGATGGATTATTCTGCAGTTTTATAGGTGCTCATTTCCCCTCTGGGGGGGAAAATTCATCACTTCAGTGTTTCTTTCAACCATCATCAGGTCACAATTTTATTATCTCCAAAAGCAATGGCATTCTCGATAGCTTCAGCTCTGGTGTTTGCAATTTACCAAACATTAAACCTGCGGAAACTTGCCTTGTAACTTTGATTTGGCAGTTGAGGTAAATCAAAGCACCGCTGGGCCTGGGTAAAGTCTCACAGAGCTGCTAGCTTGGCTGTAAGATCTAGTGCTCTTTTTACTGTTTCTGCACATCCTTCAACTCTGTGTTCTTTTCTGCTGTCCAGTCTGTGAGTGCTGTCTGAGTCGCTGTCAGCTTTCTGGAAACGCTGCCTTTTCCTTCGAGAGCCAGCTGACCTTAGTGACTGTCCCAGCTTTATAGCCACGAGCCTGTTACCATTTACCTACAGCAGACTGAGAGGACGGCAGCAGAGTACAGTCACTCATTCTACTCCGAATCCAGCCAGCAGGCCCACTAGTCAGCGCCTTGAGTCCTCCCTGTGTGTGTAGGAGAACACAGACGGTTATTGTTGCCATTTGAGAATGTTCTGATATTTCCCCAAAAGATGATTTTTTTGTTTTTTGTTTTTTTGTTGGCAGATGAGCTCTCAACAGACCTCGGTATAGCTTTTCAAATCTCTTCTTAGTCAGAGAGAGAGAGAGAGAGAGAAAGAGAGGCATGTACGGAGGTAACAACTGTTTATTCATCAGCCCACACAATCAATCTTTCAGCACATCTTTGCGTACCACAGAGGCATACAGCCTTGCAAGTTTTATTGCCATCTCTGAAAGCAAGCACAGAGGCAGACGGTGATTATTGTGTGACAGGAGAGGTGGAAAACAAGGAAATGGAAAGATGAAGCAGCAAGTTGTGTTGGTGGACATTGCCAGTGCCCCTCCCAAGCATAGAACAGTCTCGACTATTGTATAGATTACTTGAATTATGGATAATTCAAGTCAGTATTCTCTCTGAAGGCAGGATGAGTAATGGTTACATCATCTCTTTTTAAGTGTGCAGTGATTTTAAGAACTTAAAAAATGGAGAATGATCCAGTCTAAATGGCTTGGATTGTCTCTGTAGAGCCCAGAGCCCAAGCTTCTCATTACTACTCTTGTACTCTGGGGAGTTGAGTGTCATTACAACATTGCAAACCATATTTTGTGTGTGTAAAGGATCCACAGTCAGACCTCACACTCAAGTACCTGCCTTGGAAATGCACCAGAAAAATCAAGAGCAACACGAAGTCAATGCTGTTGAATTTTTGTACTTTACTCTTTTACTGAACTGTTGAGAACTATCCACTTTTGCATCCAGAGAGGAAAGATTTAGACTGTAATGGAGGCCGAACACGGTGTCAGAGAGTTTGTGTTCACTTATAGACTATGTGCATGTTAGCATATGCTACTTCCGGTGTCCTATTCGCGCCCTGTTTACGGTCCAAAACAAGTTAAGCAAATGAATGAATCAAGCGTCGATTTACATTTCTATAGATGTCTTGGGCATTTACCCAATATATCTGTAAATGATGTTCATCGACTTTATTATTTTTTCCCCCGTGCCTCAGAGCAAAAGAGAAAAGGGATTCAAATTTTATATTTCTCAGTATCTGTAAACAGCGGTCCCTCGTTTATCGCGGATGTTATGTTCTAAAAAATAACCAGCGATGTGCTTCTGAATGTGGACGATGTGTCTTCTGCATGCAGTAATGCAGTTCTGCTTGTGTTGAGTGATGTAAACAACTGATCAATCTAAACTCTTTAAACTTTTTATGACACAACAGTGGTGAGTGTTCCCACCTTCTCCTCTTTGTAACTTAACACCATCTTTCCGTTTTTGAGTTTTGGACATGATTTTGGAGTATATCTTCGCAGTAGCGATTGACCGCAAAGTAAAGCCCACATCCCCACATCCGGTCTCAAACCAGGAAGTTAGCATTTTCTTGTGCACAGGGTCTATTATGTACAAACAATTAACATACATTGCTTTTTAGAAGCAGCACAGAAGGGTTTGGAATATACACCCACTATAAATCACCAAGTCTGCTGTGAGCTTGTAGCAATTCATCCTTCAGCACAAAGACAAAGGATTCTGCGAACTAGAGTGGAGCGTGTCTTTGAATGGAATTCTGTAGATGACATCTGAAGCGCAGGCCACTATGGTTCTGCTATCACTATGACCACAAGGACATGCAGCTGTATATAGCTGTTACATTTAGACTTCATTTACTGTGCAAGATTCGGAATACTGTTCAAGTGGATCTTATTGTGCTTATTCTTATGTATGGATATCTATATGATTAATACAACAGTTGTGGACAATGTCTATATCCTATAATGATATAGCCATAATGATAATAAATTGGTAAGCATAGCCAAAGATTCAGTTACTAACCCTAACCCTTCAAACACGAGTCTTTAGACAGATTCTTTTAGGGATCTGGATATTGTCACCGAGGGTAGATGTCTTTAATATGGTCATCTGCACGATGGCAGACAGTCGGAAGAAAGTTGGCGTATTAGACAATGACAAGTTAAAGCAGCTTGTTTCAGTCAGCGGATGAGGCAAATAAAGATTTATCCGTGAATCATGCTAAGCTATACAAGTTACCATAATATGTTAATTTTTACCATTTATTTTTATATTGAACAAATAAACTCATGATCATCAATTAGAAAGAGAGAGCATATTTCTCCTGTTTTGGCTTCCCTTCATTGGCTTCCTGTTAAATCCAGAATTGAATTCAAAATCCTGCTCCTCACATACAAGGT